TAAAATAAAACAAACGGTGCTAAATAAACTGTGCCATCACTCTGGCCACTAATAAGACTCCTGACTGATACCAGAAGCATACAAATAAATAGCATCTTTGACTGTTTCACTGATAGACTGCAGGGACCTTTGACCAAGCAATTACATCTCAAAATGCACTTCTCCAGGAGCTAAAACATGAAGTGGTGTTATTTAAAAAAACAAACAAACTGTAGAGTGTCCCAGAGGCAGATGATTGACTTTAGCTTTTATGAATTCATCTGCAGTGCATTTGCAGGAGCTTTTAGGGTTTAATTGAGGTTAAGAGGTTGGAATCTGTGGTAAACAAAAGAATGGCATATGGGCAGTCTGAAATTGTGTATATTTAAGTAAGAGCATTCCTTCTGGCCACTTGTTTTCATTGGGCAGTTGTTCTTGGCTCACAGCTTAAACAAAAAAAAAAAGTGTTAACATCACTGCTAGCAAGTTAATGATTCATTACTTTTTATCACATTCTAACATACCTCTAAAGAAGAGAAAGCTGATCTAGGCTTGTGTTTGACCTCCCCCTTCAGATTAAGGACGTTGCTTCTTTAACCTCTTACTTGCTGTTGCAGGGTTTAGAGGCTCATTTGTTTTAAAACATAAAAAAAGTAACACCTTTTCTCCATTCTTCCTCACTTCCTTTCTCTCGTAATCTGCAGTTGTTCTCTTAAAAGTTCAAGTGAACAAAGCAAATGTGAGATTATAGGAAAGCTGTCCAGAAGCGTTATTTTATAGAGGCTGTGAGGAGTTGGGTTTCAGTTTCTGGAGTTGTGCACAGAGCACTATGTGTGTATGTTTTTACGTTTTTTTTCTTTTTCCTTAGCCACCTTTTTTGAACGGTGCAGTGAGCTGTATGAATGCCTTCATTAGACTGCATCTGCTCTTGTGAATGAGACTATGTACAATCTACTCCAGCAGTTTGATAGTAAAGATAAACCTCCTCATGTTGGAAGGCCTGAATTCATACTCTGAGGTCTTTATGCTATTCGTAAACTTTATGGCGCATGTGACATCAGCTGACAATGACAACGGTGACCTGCCAGCCTCAAGTCGTTCTGTAGGCATCTGTTATTTATGTACCGCTGTTAATAGCGTGCAGCCTGGAATCCAAGAGGACACGTCAATATAATTATATTGATGAGAGGATAAATGAGAGATTTTCTCTTAATATTTCATCTGATAGGAGCTTTCCTCTGTCATCTTCCAGGAAGTCAAATGTGTCTTTTTGTGCTTGCTTAGAATTTAGAGCAATCTCCCTTTTAAAAGTCTTAGTTTTTGGACTACAATTCTGGTTTTTGAAAAAACGAAACAACTTAGCCCTTTAGTGACCTGCTCTTTTCAGAAGCTGTAATGCATTAAATGTGATTTTTGTGTATTTATGTCTCATAAGACAGGCTCTATATAAAGAACTTGGATAAAAAATGCTTTATTAAGATGTATTGTTTACTAGTGCAAGAAAGGAAGTGGATGGAACAGCTTACTTTTTTTATGCAGAGTGACACTTAGATCTTTTACTTATATTTGAGGTTAAAAAAAGTAGTTATGTTTGAGCACAGAATTGAAGGGAGAGGGGAGAGGTTTTTTTTTTTTTTTTTTCTGAATTATACTTTGTCTTCCTTTTTCTATTTCCCATGCAAGAGTTTTTCCACTATATTTTTCTCCCTGAAATAGGACAAAATGAATTTAAATATCAAAGCAAATTCAAATGCTTTGAAAACCTATATATAATGTATATGCAATATGTTTGTGTGTCTATATGAGTATGTGCATATGTGTATATTTATTTTAATTTGTGATGTCCTGTGAGAGCTATTGGAAGTCTTTTTGATGGACTTCTTTTTTTTGACGGAAAGTACCGGCTTCTCTAATTTAACAGCAAGATGAAAAATACCTTCTGTCACTCTGAAGATACTGTAAAACAGAATGCTTATGACTGGGTGTTAATATAAAATGACCTGCTTCCTTGCTGCTTGTCATCCTTTGATATCTTTGAACCCATTTTGGAAGATGCCAAGGAAAAGTCGTTACATCACTTAATAACTCTTCTTTCCAAAGGCATACTCTGTCAGCACTTTGCAGAGTGCAGTTGCCTTTGGGGTACGCACCCTTTCTGAGACATGCTGTGTGGGAATGTGGACACGCGCTAGCCAGCAGCACTTCCATTGTTGTACCAATCAAGAGCATCTGCATTTTGTTGGCAGAAATAAATAGTGTTTATTCGGAGTGGCTGGGGTTTGCCGGCTGGCATCAAATCTTGTACGTGGTGGAAGGTAATAAAGATCATCATGTTGCCATTGACCTTGGAGGGGTAGACCACGCCTCAGAGAGGCTCTTATTGACTTCTTTAAGAAACAGCCTGCAACGGTTCAGACATGTGGTAGTGGCCTTGCTTCCTCTGGGTCCAGAGGCAGGCTTAACCAGGCCAAAGGCAGCTGAAAAAGATGCCTATTGCTCTCTTCTGCTTTCTGTCAGCGACCTTCCATTCTGTCTCCTCCAGCCTCCCTGGGGAGACCAGAAACACTGCGTTGTTCTCAGTAAGGTAGCCACCTGGAGAAGGAATAGTCCACAGAAAGCTAGTAGACGGCACATCCACGTCTCTGTGGACACTCTGTAACGCTTGGTTTAGTAATCACTTGTTGTACTCCCTTCCCTGGCAAGACAGACTCTGCTAGGGGGAATATAGAATATCCCTTCCTAACTCCTCCTTTGCATAATACTGATATGTTGGCAAGACAAGGGGAGCCTTGCAACATGCACTGAAGATGGGGCCCGTCCTCTAGAAACGAGTTCTGCAACCTTAGATGCTGTCATAGAGGGAGAGTTAGCCCTTGGCGAGATACCTGTGAGATACCTGTGATTTTGTGATCTGCTCCCTTCCCAAGGCATGGTAGGTGCTGTGGTAGGTAACCTACTTACTGATGTAGGTACCTGCTGTAAAGGGCTAGTGAAGAGCTGCGAACGTACGGGTTGGTTAGTGCCACAGTTCTGCTGAATGCAAGGCAGTCCATCCTGCTTCATAAGGAACCAGTGGAGTGCCAGATCACCCAGCAGCATTTTGACTAATTCAGGGAGGGGGCTAGGGTTTCGTTTCTGTCAGATTTATCAAGGCAAGTGATAGTTAGAAGCTGACTGTTTTTGTGCTGGCTCTAAAGAGAGACGCGCTACCTTGCTTAACAGAAAGCCTGCTGATACAAAGTTGATGCGCTCAGCTTTTCAAGCCAATTTGAACTGTTAGGGTGAATTTTATGCTGGATCCATACTCAAGAGTGGTTTGGGAGCCAGTACTAAATGCCTTAAATCTGGACTCTGTAGTTGTCTGCTTTGGCCTGGAGCAGGCTCTGTGCAGAACAACCTCTGGAGCCTCGGCACTGTGCCTGCTTTCGGCTTGTCTGTGGAGAGTTGCACTCGTAGCCTCAGCAGGGAGACCGAGCCGGTCTGGCACTGACATGGACCAAGAGCGTGTGCACAGTCTGCTGAAGGCTGTATGTGACCTCTGGCAGAGAGGTGGTAACAGGCAGCTGGGAAAGCCGTAACACTTTGAACTCCATGGGTAACACTTTGAACTCCCATGGCCGTTTCTGCTGTGAGCATCTACCTCTTGGTCTGGCTTGGAGTGCGCTCAAGTGTTTAAAAGGCAGGATGTGCTGGCTGAAGTGTTTAAGGCTGTGCGTTTCCTGGACCTCATGACTGGTTCGTGTCATACTAGTCCAGATCTCGGCCAGCATTCGTCCATAACCTTCCCTCAAAGAGCCTCTCCCCTTCGTGCTGGACTCACTTTGGTCATACGTCTTCATGGAGGAGCTCAAGCTCCCTGAGTGTCTGTGACGTCTGTATAACAAGAGTCAGCAGCCTGAATGGAAAAGGATTTGGGGCTGGCCGTTCTCTCTGAGCTCTTGGCCTGTCAGCATGCTTATATAGCTACAGCTGCCTTGTGTGCTGCTGTAAGGGAAGTTTGTCAATTAGAGCTGTACAAATAAACCAGCCAAGTGGCACATATGCATCTTCCATCTGCAGCTGCCAGGTGCCCTAGGATGTTTTCTTGAACTGGAGAGCGTTGGGGTGGAGAGGGCTGCAAATAAATGTCACAAATGGCTGAGGAAACTGCACTTAACCTAACTATAATGTGAAAATGATGTTGGCTACTGTGCGTTTTGGCATGAATTGAATTTCTGGTCTCTTGTTTCTGTAGTGATTATTGTAACTTCAGCTCTAAGATATTTGTGTAACTGTTTCAGACTGCTGCATTTTTATGTCTGCAATTTCAGCAGCTTTTACACTCAACTGAAGAACGTACAACCGTGCCACTTAGGCTCAACTGTCAGGAAGAGTCTGGCAGTATTTATCTTGCAAAAATTATCAAACAGTGGCTCAGCCTTTTCTCTCCAGTGAGTTTGCACATTTTTTCCCTTTGAGTTTATGCACAGTCTCACAATGGTTTCCCAGGGATAGAGGTGAGTGAGGGGGAAAGAAGAATCAAATAAAATCCGGAGTCCTCTTCATTGACGTACACATGCGGATGATTCATTGAAATCTCCGCTTTCACCAAAAGTGAGGTATCCCAGTTAAAGAAGGGGCTGCTTCCCCATCCCTCCCTCTGCCCCCGTATGCTGTTTCAGGAAGTAGTCTGTTGTGTCATCTGTTTTATTACTTGTTTGTATCTTGAAATCTCATTTCTGGTTTGGTATTCTAAGTAGATCTAATTGCTTTGTGGCTCTCTCCTGTGATTCCTGGGTCATTTTAAAGGTTAACTATGCGTGGTTTATGCTGGGAGTTTGTTAGAAACATTAAGTGTGGCTTTGTAAAACGAATGAGTCAGGAGATGAGAACTCATTGCAGGTGCCACCTGACAGCCCTGTACAAGGGTTCATTGTGAGAGTTTTTTGGTGTATGCTCCCACCTCCAGAGCAACGTGACCGCCCATAATCAATAAGCGGGCTGACTAATGCGAGGACGACCTGTGACGATCACTCTGCTTACGCAGCCTTTTCAGACGCTTCTGTTCATCTTTTTTCTCCCCTTGTTTTTTTCTTTTTTCTTTAGAGTGCAGAGGAAACCATCTCATTAAATGTGGGCTGCGTGCTGTTACCAGTGCTTGCAGCCTTCTTCTGAGGGGCATGGCACTGAAGCTCTTACCTTTTGGCAGGTACGTGGGATGAAGGGAGCCCGACGCCTGTGTGGAGAGCGGTTCCCCGGAGGCCTGCTGGTGCGGGCATGAGGAGCTGCCCACGATGAGCAAGGCGCTGCTGGCCAGCAAGATGCAGCAGGAGTCTCGGAGCGTGTGCGTCTTCCTGCCCAACAGAGAACAGCTCAGCGTAACAGTTGGGGTGAGTGATTCTGATTTGAAGTTCTCTCTGAGGTCTTGGCATCAGTGCCATGACTATGTTTGAATAGCCAGGGCTGTGGTAGGGCTGATTTCACTAGCTTCTATTGTTCTCTCAAAGGCATCATGTTAGCCTGCTGATCACAGGGCTATTAGCCAGCTTAGTGTAATCGGTGCTGCATTTTCTAACTGGGCAGTTTCGAAACAGTTGTAGAGTTTCTTGAAAGTCCATCCTGGTTGTGTTTTGGGATGGGGTGTTTTGCTCTTTTGTTTATTTATTCCTTTTTTGTTCTCTGCATGTTTTTGCCACAAATAACAATCGAGTGATTTTAAAATTGAACCTGAAACGCCTTACACTTAGCAAGCATGTCTAATATGGAGCATGCCTCCATTTGCAGTGGCATTTTAGCTGTTTTTGAGTTTAATACTTTGTAGAGCTCTTTAAAGACTTTAAGGTAGCGTGGATAGCCGTTGACTCTTTTTCTGAGTGCTTGTACACACACAGATCAGAGGTAAGTTGTTTCATTTCTTTGATCGTTACGTTAACTGTGTAAGTATGTGTGCAGAAGCGATAGCAGAGCCCGGTCAGTTGGCTGCCATATGGCACAGTATCCACTACATCGCATTGCCTCTTTGTGTAATACTGATTGCTCCTTAAACTTACAAGGTACTGAACTCGGAGAGCGCACTTCAAATTCATATGACAAGCTAGCCTGAAAGTTTAGCGCTATCTTATGAGCATGTGCATGCACTATGTGTGGGCTGGTGAAGTGTGTTGCTTTGTTCTTGTTTCTTTCCTGTGGGATGGGAAGAAGACAGAAGGTGAGCTGTTATTTTAAGCGCATGACTGGAAACGTGGCTTTTGAAAGTATGCATGCTAATCCTTAAAATCCGTGCAGGAATTTTCCTGTCTACTGTGCTTAAATGTGGCATCGTTAACAGAAATGGCCACAAGGACTGGGGAGAGCAAGTCTTTTAACTGCAGCATCTGGAGCTCTCTCCTTCTAGGTCACCAGTTCACATCCAGTCCATGTGGAGACCTAGAAGATCTTTTTTTGCAATCTGCTAGCTTTTGTGCAAGCCACAAAATGATGATTTAATTAAGTTCTTGGAGGCAGGTGCCCAGGTCAGGGTGATGGTCCATTGCAACTGACCCTAAATCTCTCCTGTTTATAGCTTTTATCAGAGAGGCTAAAGATCTTAGACAGTGGTGCCTGCCCAGCCTTGTTTGAGGTGCTGACTCACATGCAGAAGTGCAGGCATGGCTGATGCAGTCACTGCTCTGTACTGTCTCCCTGGCTCTGTCCTCTCACCGCACGGGTGTCTGAGTTGGGAGTGCAACCGTTTGTGAACTACTGGGCCGTGCTCCACTGTATTAAATTTAAGCACGTGGTAAATCCTGAATAACTGCAGTTTGTCGTCCTTGAAGCAGGCATGTCCTCCTCAGTGTGGGGGAGGGCAAGCTTCAGAGAGGAAACAGCTGGAGGCACTGACAGGTTCAGCCATCACTGTCTGGTTTGGCTGGCATGAGTCAAGTGGTGACTGAACTGGAGACACCTGAAATACTTTTTGGTTTTGTTCCTTCTCTTTTAGCCCTGATGCATGCCCCTGGCTGCTGTTTTAAGTACAGTGTCATGCATCTGCTCTGACTGCAAGTTTAATGTTATTTCCAAAGGATGTGACAGCCATGGATCTGTCCAAGCTCTAAGGTTTTGGACAGGCTGAGACACAGCCGGTGAAGAGATCCTGTCGCTGGTTTCTGCTCTGTCACGAAAGACTTCTTTGCCACCCCTAATACTTGCATGAGTAGTTCATCCTTTCAGTTGGTTATGGACAGAATGAGTTAGGTTGGCAGAGACCGCCTGCTGGGGCTTTCTGAGCTAAAAACCTGTGCCTTATAGCTGAAAAGTGTTGTGTGCTCACACAAACAGCTCCCCTCGAATTTTGGGGAGAGTGGGATTTCCTGGGCAGCTGGGTGGCAGGGGCGCAGGCAGGGAGCAATAATTATTGCTTTGCCAGCTGGGAGAGGCCCCTGCCCACAACTGGAGATTCCCAGCCCTGGCAGGAGCAAGGAAGGACCCTGTGTGCACTCATCTGTGTGTGCAGGGTTACAACGTCTTCAGCCAGCAGATCTATGTTTAAAAGTTACGGTGAAGTGCCCCAGGCTGCAGCAGTTTAATAAACATAGAAGCAGTCTTTAGAGTTGAGCTTTACAACACCAGTGGGAACGGAAGGAATGTGAGGTGTCTCTGCAAGGCCATTTCTGCCTGCTTTCCTGCAGCCCTTCCGAAGGGCTGCCTGGTGGGAAAGTGGGGGCTGTGTGGCCCCTTTTATAGTTAAGTGTAGAGCTTTATATTTGGGCCCTGAGTGTTTCCTTTTTTTTTTGTGAATGGATCCATAACTTTGCATCTCGTAGTAGCCTTTTAAAGACATTTTCCCTTTTTGCTTCTGTTTCTGCTTGTTTCGGTGGCTAGAAAGATGGAAAAATATGTGCTTGCACATGCATGAAAGAGAATAGCTATCTAAATGAAAACATGAGTTCTCAAAACATGGTTCTGTACTAATTGCATAGAGAGTGAAACGTGGCCTGTTGTAAGTGGACAATTCCCCAATACCAGCTTTTCATTATACTTCTTTCTTTACCCCGTTGCCCCTTCAAAGCAAAAACAAAAATTGAGATCTCACAGCTGTAAAGATCTTTTTCAAGAAGCATTAAGGCAATTTTCTAATAGCATTAGTAAATTTAAATTTAATTAGTGCAACCACAGATGATACATTTTGTCTTTAGTACAATAATAACGCTGCTACGTAGGATTTCCGAAACATTTTAATCTCTGCAGTGAAATGCAAATAATAATCTTACAGCTCAGTGAGGTAGGTAAGAATCATTATCCTTCCAGCAGAATAAAGCATAGATCCTTCCCTTGATAAGCAGAGAATTTATGTACATAATTCCTTTTTCTCCCTCCCATGTAAATTCCATCCTTCCAGATAAGAATTTTCCTATATGTTTTTTTTATGTGGTCAGGTCTGGGTTGAAGTCTGTTCTTCAAAATTGATTATTTCAAGCTCTTTGCAGACATGAGTGGAGACGAGTGGGAGCCATTTTGAAGTCCCTTTGCCCATTGTCAGATGTCTCTTGTTTAACTTTGCTGTCCGCTCTGCTGATAGTATAGATTATTTAAGGGAATGGTGAGCGGGGCGAAAAATGTTTCCTAATTATCAGCCATGAACACTTAGGAAAGCAGAGCTGTGAAGCAAAGTAGCGGGTGCTACAGCTTACCAGCCACTCTGAGGACCGCAAGGTGAAATGGGAGGTTTCTGCTAGGGAGGATGAATTTTTCTGATATGCGGTTTATTCAGTTTTATTTATCTGTCAGTGTTCTGGCTTATCTTTATCTCCCTGATACTTTTGAACCTGTTGGTCCATATATCAACTGTTTTTTGCAGGTATCCCCTAAACTTTTGCTTACATTTTTTTGATGGCAGTAGCTGAATAAAGGAATGAGACCCACGCTGGTAAAGGACATGCTGCCTCGTGAGTGCAGCAGTACAACCAGCCACCCTACCTGTGTTTGGGTAGCTCCAAATAGATCACCGCAGATGCTGCTTCTTGCCCAGCTGCTGAAAGCAAGCTGGGAGTATGAGCAGAAACTTGGGAGGGGAAGTCTGATGAGCTCCTGTAGATTGAGGAGTGACAGGCCTAAGTCTGAAATCTTCCTGTTGTTTTGTGAGCAGCAGAGCAGAGTTTTTAAAACATATGAACCAAGAAAAATATAAACAATATTTAGGAGTATTTGCACATAGGATGACTCTGGAATAGCAGTTACCTTCTGTAAACTTACACTTGATTTTACTTTGGACTAAACTTCATGTATAAAGAAGCCCTGAATCTGACATAGAGCAAAGCTGAGTGTCAGCCTTTGTCAAGGGAAGGAGTGATTCATGGAATATTTGAGATGGAGCTTGGTATAAGAACCGTGCACAGAGGGAAGAAAGGCCAAGGAAACCACACAAAATTAAAATGCAAAAGGACGTGTTAGTTCTTTTGGGCAGAGGGGAATGCAGGAGGAGGGATCAGAGATTGCAAGTGTAATCAATACTGCATAGCCTTGAAAGCTGGGAGTAAAACTTGATACAGAAGGAAAATGCCAAAATGAGAATGGATTGGGCGGAGACTCCCATGCTTGCTGTGTGAGAAATCTGATTAAATCACTGCTTTAGAGTTGAGTCACAAAGTCTTTAGGTGTTCAGTTCTATAGAACTTAGTATCTTAAAGCAGGTTTCTCTTCTCTTTGTTCTCTTGTGTGTGAAAGTATGCCACTTCACATAGAAACTGTGAAATGTGAAAGAAATGCATCTAATTCTATAGCTTCTACATACAGTTCCGTGCTGCTAGTGACTGTTGTGTGCGCATAATCATTTTGGTTCCTAGTAGGTCACCTCTTCCTCAGTGAATGATTTTTAGATAGGAGAGCGTACACACAACTCTTTACTTCCTGCACTTTCCCACCTCAGGAGGGGTGCTTCCGCTGCTACTAGTCACCTTTGTCTAGTGGTAACAGCAAAATTCAGAAGATTGTGGCCCATTTCAAAGCTGGAGCTTGTCACACTCAGAGCTGAGTGCAGGTTGTTTGTGTCTGCAAACTGTCTTTTTGCTCTGCTCTCTGCACCTGCTCTTGCTCAAAATTCCTTTCTCCCATGCCTCTAAGGGCTGGGTTTTGGGGTGTTTTTTTTTTTTCCTTTCCCCTTCTTGCTTAGTCTATTTGTCTTTGCTCCTCAGGTGATGTGATGGTGCAAGGGGAAATGAGGCTATAGGTGGGAGTGCATTTAGTCGAGGAATTTTCAAAGCATAATACACATCCATGTCTGCACGTGAAGCTAGCCTGCATCATGCCCTAGCTGAGGAAGCTTCTGCTTCAAGCACCCCTGCTGGAAAAGGGTATTAAGTTGCTATAACATAGTGCCACAACCCTTTTTTACCATGCACCATCCTTGCAAATGTCTGGATACTCAGCCTTTGGCCCCCTGCAGTAGCATGTGCTGGCATCTTTCTCCAGTGCTTCTTCGATGCATGCACACTCTTAAGGGGGCACTCTGATAGGCAAAGATGCTGAAAGGTCTGAATGTGGAATGGAAGTAGGCAAGAGCCCATAGGCCATACATGACAGCGTCTGAAAACTAAGTTTTTAACTGCTCTGTGACCAAAAGTCATTAGGGGACTAAATAAACTGCTCCCTCTGGGTTACAGGGCAACTTTCAGAAAGGAGAAATCATGCTTACCCAACCTGCTAGCCTTCCATGATGGAAGGACTGGCTGAGTAGATGAGGGGAGCGCAGCGAATGTTGCCTACCTTGACTTTAGCAAGGCTTTTGACGCTATCTCCCATCACATCCTCCTAGGTAAGCTCAGGAAGTGTGGGCTAGATGAGTGGACGGTGAGGTGGCTTGAGAACTGGCTGGATGGCCGAGCTCAGAGGGTTGTGATTAGTGGCGCAGAGTCTAGTTGGAGGCCTGTAGCTAGTGGTGTCCCCCAGGGGTCAGTCCTGGGCCCAGTCTTGTTCATCAATGACCTGGAGGAAGGCACAGAGTGCACCCTCAGCAAGTTTGCTGATGATACTAAACTGTGGGGAGCGGCTGACACAGCAGAAGGCTGTGCTGCCATTCAGAGTGACCTGGACAGGCTGGGGAGCTGGGTGGAGAGGAACCTCCTGAAGTTCAACCAAGGCAAGGGCAGGGTCCTGCCCCTAGGGAGGAATACCCCCCTGCCCCAGTACAGGCTGGGGGCTGACCTGCTGGGGGGCATGAGGCAGAGTGTTGCCAGCAGGTGGAGGGAGGTGATCCTTCCCCTCTCTTCAGCCCTGCTGAGGCCATACCTGGAGTACTGTGTCCACTTCTGGGCTCCCCAGTACAAGAGAGACGTGGAGCTCCTGGAGTGAGTCCGGCGAAGGACTACAAACACGATGAAGGGCCTGGAGCATCCCTCGTATGAGAAAAGGCTGCGAGAGCTGGGCCTGTTCAGCCTGGAGAAGACTGAGGGGGGACCCTTACCAATGCGTAAGAGTGTCTGAAGGGAGGGTGTAAAGAGGACGGGGCCAGACTCTTCTCGGTGGTGCCCAGCAACAGGACGAGAGGTAACAGGCACAAACTGAACCACAGGCAGTTCCATCTGAACATGAGGAAAAACATCTGTGCTGTGAGGGTGACTGAGCACTGGAAGAGGTTGCCCAGAGAGGCAGTGGAATCTCCTTCCCTGGAGATATTCAAAAGCCTTCCGGACATAATCCTGGCAATGTGCACTAGGTGACCCTGCTTGAGCAGGGGGGTTGGACTCGATGATCTCCAGAGGTCCCTTTCAGCCTCCACCGTTCTGTGATTCTGTGAACCTCCTCTGTACCCTGCAAGCTTTCTGCTCAAAGTGTGAAGTTGTTGGGTTTGTGTAGTTCTATTTTTGTTCTTAATTCTTCTGAATAAAAAGTGTCTCTCCCCACCCCCAGCCTCCACTGAAAACATTGTTTTCAAGAGTAGTGCCTTCATTTCTGTGATTACAAACACACTCTCTTTAAGAGGACCTGTAAGTAGCCTGGTAGGTACTGCATGAAACTAGTGTTCCAACCATGATCCCAACTTTACTTATACAAGGATGCCAACAGATAGGAAGCCTTAAATTCACATCTTACTGAGCCAAGCCACTTTGTAAACGAGGGAGAATGACACACTTGTAATTCTTCTGTGATAGTAATAATAATACTGAAAACAAAGCTTGTTCTGTGGGTTTTTTTTTTTGCTGTGATACCCAAAGTATCAATATAAGGAAGGAGAAATGCTGCATCCAGGTGTGTGAGCCCTCTGTAATGTTGGACTGGTTGTTTCTTTCAGGTCAAAGCCACTGGACAGGAGCTCTTTCAGCAAGTTTGTGATTTAGTGAAGATTAAAGAGCCTCACTTCTTTGGCCTCAGCATTGTTAAAAGTAAGCAAACTCAATGCACAGAGCAAATTACTTGGCAAACTTCCACAGACCCGCTTGTGTGTTTACAGTGTGTGCGTATATACACACTGGCCATGCCTACGGGGAATTTGATTGTAATAAGGTCACAAAGTATGTAGATTATGCACAGCCTTCTCTGAGCTCTTTTGATCTTTGGTATGTGGGCAGACAAATTGGGAGAAGGGGGGCTTTTGTTCTCCTCCTTTGTTCTTATGTTCTACCTCTTTGTGGGGTTGTCTTTCTCTGCTGTAGCTAAGTTGCTAGCCAGCGTATTTGTCACTTTGAATTCGAAACTGCTGGTAGTTGAACAGAAGGAGAATTTAAAAGGACTTTGGGGCTGAAAGAGTAACTTATCTTCTAACAAGTAAAGAATGTGGCACTGGGTGGTGGAAACTTAAATGATTTGAGGAGACTGAAAGTGGGGAGGGGGAAACAGGGTTTTGAAATACTACATGGGAAATACAGAACTTAAGTCCATGGATCAAAGTCCAGTCTGCCTGGAGCTGTGCCTTAGCATTAACCAAGGGACAGTGTAAGATGATGCCTTAAGGAAGGAGCAAACCCATGTGAGATACTAATGCTCCTAGAAGGAGAGTGTGTGTGTCTTAGTAACTGGATGTTGATGTATAGTCCTCCTTATTCTGCTTTCCCACACCTCCACAAGTATGAGAGGGGCTTCTCTTCCCTCCGAAATGCTAAACACCGAAGAAGTGTTTCCTACTGCAACGCTAGATATTGTTGTCATTGAGATGAGAATAGCCTTTTATCAGCCCTTCTAAATAAGGTTTCGTTTGCCTCCTTACAAATTTTGTATTATGTGGGGGGAATTGTTTCTTCTGCTAAGTTCACTTTTTTCTTTTTCTTTCTTCTCTCTCACTGAACTGCTCCTGTAGGAGTGACTTTTTTCTGTTTTGTTTTTTTCTTTCTTTTTTTTTGAACACATACTGGCTTTAGGTTGAATGCTAAGCTGTTTGTCTCCATGAGGTTTGGAAGGTCTCCAAGAGATTCCATCAACATAACAAAACCAGTTAACAAGTATATCTCTGGCTTTAAAACAGTGCAGTTTTATATGTGAAGATCTGAATGCTCTTAACCTCTTTCACAAACGTGCTGTGCTCACTGTGAGTCTGCCCCCAGCCTTCTTATGGCACCAGCTATTACCTATTCCACTTGTGGGCCATCTCCTCATGTGAAATTCAAGTTCCTGTCCTCTGAGACAGGGTAATTTCATTCCCATTTTCTTGGAATTTGAAATGGGTTTTTCTCCTGTTCTTCTTTGTGATTCTTTCACCTTTTCCCTTTGTAACTAGTTTGTTTCACGTTATCAGCTCTGCTTTTTCCCGCATCCCCCTTTTGTACGGAGCAATTTCCCTCTGTCTCTCAAGCGCAGGTGCTCTGACCCCAAAAATGCTAGTTTGTGGAAGGTACTTCCGTCTTTTGGAAATAGAGTATAACTGCCCCAACCCGGCAAGTGTAATAAAGCACTGTTGGCTAAAGTCCAGAAGTTACAGTAACTTACCTACAGCTTTAAAAATAAAAATAAAAAAATCTTCTCTCACTTCTCATAAATGTTCCTCCATTATTAGAGGAGCTAATTCTTGATGAGACTCTTAAAAGATGAGGAGAGGTGTTCCAGGAGCTGGGAAGCCACCTGATCTCCTTTTTTTTTGTTGTTTTTTTTTGTTATTTATTTTCCCAACTATTCCTCACTTGTGTTCGGTGTAGCTCAGTTTGTAAAGCTGGCTTAATTGGAGGCATGCTCACCCTGGTTCCTTATTAAACCAACCTTCCTTCCTCACCCAGGCAGATGTCAGTGTTTTGGATGAGGAAGAAATTTTTTTTTGTGTTTGTGCCTTTAAGGAGCTACTGACCAGCTACTGGAGCCAACAGGAGGGAAAAGTATATTGACAGGGAGTTTCTCAGCCTGAACAGTCACAGGCACCAGGAAGGTTGCAGCCAGCCCTTGGGAAAGGGAGTAATGCATGAGCAAACCTGGTCTGCTTGTCTTGGCTTACAGGGCCTCCGTCACCTTTAGTGCACAAACGGTCCACTAAGCTGCTGCCTGGAGTCTTGGTTTTTGTTTTCCTTAGGTCCAGGTTTACTGCGGAGCTGTAGTGAAAATGTCTTTTTGTTTTCGGTTTCCCCATCTTCGCTCCTCCCCCCCCCACCACCTTTGGCCAGCAGACAGGTGATAATCTCTGTTGCTGCCAGTGGGTGATTAAGGTCTTGATTCCATTGCAAATGCAGCACACTCTCTCTCTCTTTGGAATTTGGAAGTAGCCTTTAAGACATTGTCTGCTTTCCAAGACCAGCTTTTCAGGGATTTTGGTTTCATGGAAGACTATCATCTCAAGGAAGTGATGTAGTCTGTTCAGGTTATGGGAAGGCCTGGGTAAATTTTGCATTGCCCAGGGTTGTCTTGTGGGTACTTCAGTCAACTCTCTTTACAGGCAGCACGCCAAAGCGTACTTACTCCAAAGTTTGTGAATGGAAGGCGTGCTGCCCTCCTGCAGGGAGTGGTGAGGGAGACAGAGATAGGAGAACTAGAGAGGGAGCCTCTGTGTTTCATAGCAAAACATACTTCTCTTCTGCATCATGCTTTTACGCCTTTATATTGCTGCTCTCAGATGATGTTTTAATAAACTACCTCATTGTTTTAATACGGGTGTACTTCACTATTTCTTAAGTGTATTTATTTTGGCAGTCTGATACTGCCACATGCAGAACAAGGTATTCTTTCTAATCCACCCACATCCGTTACCTTGTCAACAAAACCCTGACTGTCAGTGGTGGCAAGAGAATGAAAATGGAGGGATTTCTGCAGAATTGTAACCAATCACGCTTTGTGGATTATCTGGATTAAGAGCGCATTTGACCTGCAGACGTTGTACAGACATATTAATGCTCAGTTAGTCTTGTAGTAAAATATATATGTGTGAGGAGGAGAGGTTTAGCACTTTAACAGAAAACAGAAGTTTGATCCCCAAGTGTGGAAAAAATGAAAATAGCACCACAGAGCACTGTGCAAGTTGCAAACAATAAATGCTGAGATCGGAACTGTAGATATTGAGGCATCTCTTCTAGCAATCATTGCTTAAAGGATAAAATAATTGAAGGCTTTCCTTCACTGTTGACTGTTACAAACGCTGAGGGTGAGCTTCACGATTTTAGATAACAGGAATGGTGATAGGATGGAATTCTTCGCCTCTTCTGCTCTTGTGCTTTTTTTCTTGTCCAAATGAAAAGCATTTCAGCCAGCTATATCAGAAGAGAGTTTGCATTTGTAAGAGGAATTCAATCCCTTTGCAGATGAAGCTCAGGAGTGTACGTTAGCGAGAAGCCACACTGGCATGAAGTTTTGGACGCGTTGCTCTTCTGGTTTTGTTACAGATCATCAAGCAGGCTATACTGTGTTCTGTTGCTGCTTAAGAGCATTTTTTTTCCTCGTACTCAGTGAAAAAACCCTGTGACCCTGCCAGGTTCAGCCTGGCTCTGTGGGCTTCAGCAGCTGGGTCTTAGAGTTGTGGCTCCTCCTGCAGGGTCAATCTTATCTAGTGCCCTGCAAGACTTTCCCCTCTGGTTATCAGAAAGCGTGCAGTGACACGGTTCAGTCTTCTAAAGCAAAACTGACTCTCAACAGACAAAGAACAGCCAGATCTCCTTTCGTACTGTAACCTGGATCCATGCAATCCTGAATCTTGAGCTTCTCCTTTCTTGAGGAAAACCTTGCTCAACCCAAGCAGATGGAAGCTGTAGATGGTGCAGGAGCAAGCCTGCAGCTCCTACACCCTGCTGCTCTGTCTTTCCATGTCCTCTTACCAGTTTCTCAGGCTGACTTTCCTACAAAAGCAGATCCTTTTGCTTCAGCTCCCCTGCCTGAAGGATCTTCCTTCTGTTATTACAGCTCTGGCTGTTCACTTTGCCAGACCCAGGGAGGCATGCCTCCAAGTCCTCATTACTTGTGTGCCTGGCAAAGAGCAACTTGGTGGTTGACTCGATTATCAAGACCACTGTATCTGTAATTAACTCTTCTGTGTCTGCACAGCCTCCAGTACTAATGTTCATAGATAGAGTATGCTACCCATTATTTTTATAGTATGTGGGTATCTATTATACCACAACTGTCTTTTAAGACAGGTGACAACAGAATTTCTCCTCAAATACCCTCAGATGATTTATACATCCCAGTCCTTCCCAACTATCCATATTTCCCCCACTTCCCCCTCTTTCCAAATGTCTGTTTGGATAGTTGCATTTCCTTTGTGAAGAGAAAATGTCCATATGCTAACCTAAGATGATAAGGCTCTAATTATAATGACTTGGTTACCCCGAACAAGAGTTCAATGCAATATAAGGAAAATGAGTGCAGAAACATGCCAGCTAGAGGGAATTGCAGTGGTTCAGGTGTTCAAAAATTATTTAATGCTCCTTGGCAGTGCTTACGTTGTCTTTTCCTAGAAAGGCCTTTTCTCCCCTTACCTGCTGTGGGTTATTTCTCCTTCAGTATCAGAACAACATCCAGCCAAGTGCTCTACAAGCTGAGGACCACAAGGGATTTGTTTGCTCCTGGATGAGCTGTAGTGGGAAAGGTTCTGCAATTCTGCTTGTACAGAAGAATTGCCTTTGACGCTGTCAAAGGTCCAGAGAGTTTTATAACTCTACATGCTATGTTGCTAACTGTAAGATACCAACATAAAATCCTGCAATACTTAAAAATCCTCAGGAGTCACCGGGCCTTTATCTTAATCTTCAGATAATTTGTAATAGCCACACTACCTTAAGCTTTTTGTTACGTCCTTTCATTCTTCCCTCCATATAAATGTCCATCTGTCCATCCCAGTTAAACTGTTAGCCACCTGCCTTGCCTTATTCTCAGCTGTTGAGTATCAGGTAGTCTTGCAGAGGTGGTAGGAGCAGACACCGTGCAGGGATTGACATTCCTAGGCCATCTGTGCTTGGAAGCTCGTGGAGCTCCACTTGCAAAAGGAGCATGCGGCCCACTTTGTTCAGTAAACAAAAAACCGCATGCTGGCATTCAGGGAAGTTAAACAGGTTAGGTGAGGTCTGTGGCATGTGTTGTGAGGTACTCTTGCTTTGTATTTACTTCAGCTCTCCCCTAACCCCGCCATCTTCCTCTTTTGGTCCTGGTCTCTTTCCTGTTGCCTCTCCAGGGATGGATGTGCTTGGAGCACTGGCATCATCTCCACTCAGCAAATAGCAGTGGTGGTGCTGTGAGGTTTTTTCAGCATCTGAGAGAAATTAAATGCTGTAGCCAGGGACAACTTTTTCCTTGTATTTAAAGCAGTAAATGCATTCTATATGGAAATTTGGCTCTGCACTAATTCATATTTTATTTGAGTCCTAATCGCCTACGCTGTCTGGATAGTTATAATATTCAAATATGCTTGACTCAACCAAGTGAGTTAATGGGATCGTCATTGCTGCCAAGTGGGATGGAGTTCTCCCTTGTGGTAGGACTGAAGTATAACTTACCTCTGTGGAATTTCTTAGCACTCTTAGCCCAAAATGGACACATGAAGGGAGCAGGTCACTGGGATTCATTATTAGTTAGTTGTTCTGCAGGGAACTAACCTTTCATAAAAACAAAATGGGGAAGCACTGTTTAATATAAAATAAAGGCTTTTAAAGTAACAGTGACTTGGAGAATTTATTTGATTATGTGTTACAGTCAGTATTTTTCCATTCCTGTTTTCCCTGCGTTGTAAATAATGCCTATAGTAAATCTGCATAACTCATTGGGACTGTACCACTTTGTTCTGATTGGAGATCTGGCCTATTATTTTTTGCAGCAATGCACATTCTACATTTGCTTAAATATGTGCTAAACTAATTGCTAAACTAATTTTACGGAGTAGGAGCCCTTGAATGTTTGCATTTCTTTTGACTGCTTAAGTTGAAGTGAAACTTTTACACTGTATACTCTTTGCAATTCATTTGGGGGCTCTTACTAGCTGAGGTTGCAGCAAAGCAATCTACACGTTCCTCTCAAACTAGCTGACTGTACAGGTGGGTTTCTTGGGAGTGCAGTGCAGTGCAGGGATGTGTTACACCAGGTCTCTTACCTGAACACACATGCATGAGGGAACCCTTCAAGGGACATTAGTATGATGTATTTTGCAAGCTCACTACCAGTGTTGAGACGAGATCTGTGAATGCAGTGTCAGTAGTTGTTCATGGATGTGTGCGTATTTGCATGGATGTGTGCTTCCAAGCCACTTGCTGCTTTGGTCATTCAGCTGAGGCCAGTAGACTGATGATGGTTTGTAACTGCCTGAGTATCTGGCCCTGTTTGGATCTGCAGGTTAAGACAAGTTCTTCCCCGGTAAGGTAACCGTTTGTGCGTTTCTATATGGTCCTTTACAACGCTGTACTGAGGTGCTGCAACTTGGTGCCCTCACCTCTGGTAAAGAAAAATGCTTTCAGACCAGAGACAGTTTCAGCATCTGACAAAGATCTCTAAGCTTCACCACTAATCCAGTTTAAGAGGAAAAAAAACCCTACTACCCACGTAGTTCTGAGGAGGGAAATACCTCTTTGTTTTTGCAGATTGGGCTTACATTGCAGGC